CTCAGCTTCTGAAACAATGGGCTGGCAGCCCACGGGCTCTTGAAGATGGCTGTGGGTGTGAGACGTCCGAGGGCACAAGGAGCTTTGTGAGCTCACGGTGCCCCCAGAGCCGTCCAGAATCAGAGCACCACGGAGCTGCGGCGTTCCTGCCAGCACTTGCCGTGATGGACCACGAGAGCACTACAGAACTGGTTCTGGACACGCCACGGCCACTCGTAGCCACCACAACATTCACCTCCTGTCCCGGCCTGCCCCACACTCCTCCAAGCTTGCTATGCAATTCGTGAATCTTCGCTTCCCATCACTTGTTGCTATCAAATTGATGCGGGCTCACACACAGGCCTTCTTCAACTTCTCTGACTTGAGAACATCTTTCGCCAGAAAACCACTTAGGAGAACCCAGGCATATACAATAAATATTGAAATCAAGTGTGGCTTTAATGATATTCATGATGTTGATAGTGCTGCAAAGCACAGCATCTAACTCTGGTGACACTTTTTGGCTGTGGGTGCTTGTTATGTGTGACTCCACAGTCTAAGAGGCTCTCTTCAGGCACTGCCCTGGCAGCGGAGGTAAGGTATTTCCCGATTCATGCTGCTTTTAGGAGCTGTCAAGTCCGCCCCTAGTTCCTGGCCCTGGGTTATCTGCAGGACTGGTTGTCCCCTGGACCACCATGACCCACGGGTTTGCTTTGGCTGGTTTTCAGAAGTAGGCTTTTCTTACTAGTCCATCTTCGTCTGAAAGCTCTGCTGAAACCCACTGAGCATCGTGGCTGCATGCAAGCCTCCACTGACAGATGGTGGTGGCCATGCCTGAGATGCATGGCCGGAAATCAGAAACCAGTCTCCTGCATGGAAGGCGAGAATTCCATGAGGGAATTTACACTGTTCTCTCCTTCCCATCTCCAAACCCATTCCCAAGAATTCAGGCATTCTATTTGTGTATCTTATTAGCCTTAATTCTTCCCCCATACCAGAACTTTAGAAATATGTATCGAGAAATACTAAGGAAAATGTCATCATTATAGGGTTTTGACAATCGTTAGCTAACCAGTGGGGCGTACTGCCCACCAGCAGGGAATTGATTACATCAATGAAGGGCTATCATACAGTGAGGTTCTGCAGAGTCATTCAAAAAGGAGGCAGATCTTTTTGGACTGATGGGAAAATACTAGCCCACATGAATCAGGTGACAAGACTAAGGTGAAGACTCACATGAGTGGCATACCTCCATTAGGAGTTTCAAAAGGCTGTTTAGAAAGATGTGAAGTGGCTGCCTATAGGCAACCAGCATGCCTTTGGAGGACACGGAAACAACTGGCTTCCATCAGCAGCAGAGGGGATGGAAAGGGTGGTGGCGCCAGGGATGGGAAGAAGTGTTTATTTTTCCTGAATACTCTTTTTGCATAGTAAAAAAATATTTTTAACAATAATAACAAAGGTCAAGGAAAATGCAGATCTTGTTGGGTCATATGCTACAGAAGAATGCTAGCCAGCCAAGGGATCAGGAAATACCTCCTTATAACCCGTTGACACCACAGTGGCTCCCACTCGCGGTCACCGGTGGTATGGCCGGGAACAGAACGGTGTGAACGGCTGGCTTTTCTCAAGTTCACCCTAGGCCTTTCAAGGCACCTCAGGGTGGACTTGGACCTCCCACCTCGGGAACATCTTCCTTTGGGCAAAGAGGAGGAGAAAGGTGCCGAGCCGTCTCTGAGCCTCTCTGCTGCTCTGCTTCGTCAGTAAGGGCTGGCGACTACAGATCTCACTTCAGCCCTGGCTGGCGACGCTGGGCCAGCTGCTTATCCTCTTTGGAGTTGTACATGCATGTTTAACAATAACCTTTCAAATGAGAAGGCTGGGTTAAATGATTCTTGAAAAATCACTTCAAGCTTTAAAATCCCATGATTATTTTCTTGGGGCTTTGGCAAGAGACTGACCCCTCAAGGTCAGGCTTCGGAGTACTAAGTGGTGTCGTGTGGGCAGAGCAATCTGACGACAGCCCTGAGAGGTCACGAAGCCCTTTCTGTCACCAGGCACACCACCTAGGAGTGAGGTCCTGACAAGCTCCTCCAGCACTCCCAGGGTGCCCTGCCCTGGCGTGTGGACGGGCGAGGAGCCACGTGTGCGAGGCAACGGGCAGAAGGGGAAAGTGCCTCCTGGGCTGTGCAGGCGGCAGATGGCTTGGCAGCAACTGTTTAACACGGGACCCCCCTTTTCTTCGAGGTCTGTTCACTACCCACCCACCCCCAAAAGGCCCCCTTTCACCATGAAATGAGTTAATCTGACACATTGCAAGTACCAGTCATGAAAATGACTGTAAACCTGCTACTAGACAAGCCCGGACAAAACCCATTCCTGCTAGCCCAGAAAATCTACACACGATTTTGATAAGTAGTCCTCTGGCCACAAAAGACAGGAAATGGGTTTGAAGACACCAGGGCACTCAGCCCTTAGGTGAAAGGCTGGGCAGGATTGGAGAGGTCACCAGCTTGAATACAGCCATTCCTGCTTTTACTAAAGGTCAAGATTGAATACATATGCAATCGCTTCGTTTACAGCTGAAAAGCAAGTCTGACAAAGGCTGTCTGAAATACAGATTCTTTTTTAATGTCCACAATTTCTTACTTAATTAAAAAAAAGTGTGTGTGGGGGGGCGGCGGGGGGTCACTTTCTGCAAGGCACCAGATTGGGTCATTTAAGCAGTGTTATATCTAGGCAGGGCAGACGGGCCAGCCAACAACGCTCTGTGTTAAATCCACAGGAGAGTGGGACACGTGCTCGGCCTCAGGGGGCCGGGAGCTCTCTGACCAGCTGACCCCACGTGTGGGCTTTAAGCTTCTGCACACGCTGTTCTTTCCTCACGGAATGCCAGTCTCCTCCCTGGTTCACTGGCAGGTCCCCACCCAAGACCAAGCCCCAAGTCACTTTATGGCGGTGTTCCCCCAACGGTAGGCATCCCGGTTGCCGCTCACGCACGCACGCACGCACACATGAGGCCTTTTTTAAAGGTTTGCATTTGTTTTGTAAAAGGATGGAAACAGCCATGACAGCTGTTGGAGAAACAGCTGGGGCAAACATCAAAGTCCTCATAGCCCTGTCCTCTCTGCTCCACCCCCGCGTTCCTGGGGCTCATACAGCACAGCGCCGCGTCTAGAGCCCGGTTAGCAGAGGACGAAGAACTCCTCTCAGGAGGAACACATTCACGACGATGCTGGTGGCGCGTCTTCAGCGTGCATCACGCATCAACTACAAACAAGGCCGTGTGCCGAGTGTCTCACCAACACGAGGCAGGGAAGGAGCCTTTTCTCATGTGCTCGTCTAAAACACGCTGTGCTCGCTAATCTTTAGGGTGATTCATAATTTGCTGTGAGAATGAAAATGGCTGGTTATTAAAACAATGTATCTAGCAGTATCCCCTTCTCTGGTAGCAGACTTCTAAGCATCCGTGTTTGTGTATGCAGGAGCCCTGGTGGTCTCGTGGTTACACATTGGGTTGTGACCGGCATGGTCGGCAGTTCGAAACCAGCAGCAGCTCCCCAGGAATGGGTCAGGAGACCCTACTCTCGCAGCTTGGGGTACAAGCTGGCTTCTGGGTGGCAGCTGCCAAACAAACGCTGCACGGGAGCTGGCTTTTCCTCTCTGTGTGGACAAGACCAGGCACTGAGGTAGGGCTCTCATCAAAGCAGAGTGCTGTAAGTGCAGGGCTATTTTCAAATCGATACAGTTAAGTCATTCCCTTTCAACAGTCTTCTCCAAGATTTAAAAGAAAAAAGTTCTAAAGATTTCGGAGCTTAACTAATTAAAACAACAGGTCTCTTAAAAAGAAAACGAGTTAGCTAATCATTAGTGTTCTCATGGAGAAAGGGCAGAATTAAACAAATTTCTCCAGTCGGAGGAAAACACAATTGGCTGCATGCAGACGGTGCTTCCTGACCAAAAAACAAGTGGAGTCCTTTCACTCGGCATCAGGATGCATGTTCACTGGCGACATTTCATCTCACATCTGCAAACTTAATTTTTCCTCTTTTGCTTGTCAGACGATTAGGAAATAAATTTTAACCCAGGCAATAAATCCTGCTGGGCAAGCTCAAAATAGCTTAATTATTTAAAAGTAAAACCAAAGACCAGCCAACAATCTTCCAAAGGACTATTAATACTATGTACTTAAAAACAACAACAACAACGGGGGTGGAGGGTGGTGTCCATCTGTCTGAAAGAAGACTGGGTGACACGGGAATAACAAAACCCAATGTTCTGGAGTTCTCTGCTGAACAACACCACCACACACAAACTGTTTCTTAGAATTTAGCAATAACTAGAGATCATTCTTTCCCAACAACCAGAGTTACAAAATAATGTCCCATCACTTAGCAGACTCTGGACTTTAAATACAGGATATCTGCTAGCTGGGATATTTGGTTGTTGTTCCCAAGAATTCAGAGGTGACCCCCCCTATTCCCGCCGCCTTTCATGGTCTCCTGTGGCTGAGAAGGAACTTTCAAATGAAAGCCTCCCACGGACTCGTGGGCTAAAGAGTTCTTGGAGAGGGAAATCTTGGTGGTGTGCTTGGGAGAAGCCTTTCTCAGGGGAGGGGTCCCGGTAGACAGAAACAACTTGGAGATGTTTCTGTGTAGGGTGGTCTTCAAGTATGAAACCCCAAAGCCAAACCCCACTGCTGTCGAGTCCATTCCAGCTCACAGAGAAGCAAAGCTAGCAGAAGACTGGAGCCCTGGTGGTGCTGTAAGGACCCCTAGTGGCAGTGTGGGATAAGCATTAGACTGTTAGCCAGAGTGGTGGTTCAAATCCACTAGCTGCTCCACGGGAGAAAGATGAGGCTGCCTGCTCCCATGACGATGTACAGCCTTAAAAACCCTATGTAAGGTTGTGCTGAGTCCGAACTGACTCGATGGCAGCGAGTTCGGGTTTGGGGCCTCTCAGACAAAGCCTTAGGTTCCCTGTCTCCCACACGCGCCACGGTGCTGAGGGGGCCCGCTCACCGTGAAGTAGAACTGCTCCGTCTCCTGCTGGTTGGCTCTCCTCTTGGCAATGCTGGGCTTGCTCATGAACGTCTCGGAGACTGTGGATTTGACGGATTCCATGGAGTTGCTGTACTGGAAGCAGTCAGATACGTCGAAATCCTCGACGGTCACAATGTCCTGGATGGTCTGCAGGGTGGCCTCCATTGTCTTCTTCACCTGCCATGACAAGGGACAACATGAAGTGTGTGGGCTGGGCTGCAAATCTGCAGGTAACGAACGCTTGGAGGGGAGCGAGAGGGAGAATGCTGAGGAAGGGGGTGGGCTGCAGACACCAAGGCACAGCTCTCCTCCCAGAGACGGCGCTGAGCCACGAGAACCGCCTGGGTCCTCCAATGCCACACACTGCCTGCTTCTTAGCATTTAGGACCTAAAGACCCCACTACTCCTTTCATGCTTTATGCATAGCCCAGCTCTTTTATTTAATATTCATGTTTAAATTGGACATTAGATCTTGGCTATCATGGAAGTGCGGCGGGAAAAGGAATCCAAACGAACCCCACAGTACAAAGGGTGAGTTAAAAAATGTGATGGAGTCTAATTTGGTATCTGCCACAGGTCCAGTTTCATGACCTTCGACAGACCCAATGCCTTGTCTCCTCGTTTGCAAACCAAGTGATCAGTTCTTCCTCGTCTTCCTGGGAACTAGCAGGGCTTACTGAAGGGCAGGGTGAGAAGTCCTCCGAGCTCAGATGAGCTGGATACTCCATCCCACTACCCTGGGGGCGCAGCTGACGGCCGATAGGCTGGGTCCAGAAGACACATGCCCTCAGTGAAGAGGGTGGAGAGATGTGACAAGTACTGCAGGCAAAGGCCTCAGTCTGTCTGAAAATGCTGGGAATCCAGGCCTGAGGGAGTGACTGCAGAGTCAGAGACACAATATTGTTCACACAGCTGCCAAGTTCAAGTGCCATTCTGATGAAACGTGTCGAGGAGGGGAGGAAAAGAAAAAAAGAAAAAGCATTGTGCAAAAGCTCAAAATAGACCTCAACCTTTGGCAATACGAGAGCAACTTCCTAGAGTTCAAGGGCAGGATGTAGCAGAGGGGGCAAGTCTAAGCCTCCATTTAGCTAGGAAGTGTGTGCAGCAGCCCGGACATTCCCTGCATGCTCCTTCCACCTGCTCCCGGATGGGCAGCGGCAAGAAGTTGGGCATGGAAACTCTGCAGGCAGGTGGGTGGCTCTGAGCCCCCTGGGCTGGAACTCACCTCTTCGTTTTCAATCTTCAGGGTGGATAAACGTGACTGCAGTTGTTGGCATCTTTGTACCAACTCACTCTGGACAGGCTGCTGGGCACAGAGCTGGGAAGTCTGCCAAAAAGCAAGCAACGTCAGGTCAGGAAGAGGACACAACCCCTTTGGCGGTTCCAGCATTCCCAGGACCGCTCATAAAAGCCCTTGTACTCATAGGCAGAAGGCTCAGTTACTACATGGAAATATAGTCCAAAGGCCAGGTGTGTGGCCCGCTCCCAGACCAAGCACCAGGTGAAAGGAATGCGGAGAGGGCCTCCCTTGGAAAGACTGGCCTGGTGCTTGGTGCTTAGCAGGGGCAGGCTGACGCGGAGGCCGTGGGCTGAGGAAGCCAAAGCAGGGAGCCTCCGGCAGACCCAGCTACCGAAACATAACGCTTTGGCATAGTGACGGTTTCCTGTAAGGTCCAAGTGGCCACCTCCACGGCCCTCCCTCAGCCTCTGTCATCCATCAGAGTGAAGGCAGCAGAGAAGTGGGTCAGGAGGCTAACTTGCCGTGGTTGGCAGGCGGCATGTTTATAAATCCCAGCCATGCTTGCAAGCTCTGACTCAATCCGAGAGTCTGAAGACAGAACCAACTCGGCAGACGATGCTAGACGGCCCCAGAGGGCATGGAACATGGCACAGCTTGGCATTTTCCAAAGAGCCATCCTTTGACCTCACCAGTCCTGCGTGCGAGGGAAGCCTGTCCTTCCCCCAAGGGTCACGGCAATGAGCTTTCCCCCAGCATGCCCCCGCTGGAGGAAGGAATGACCCATTGCCTTTGGATGGGCATGGCTGTGGCACGAGGTCACTTAGGACAGTTCCAAGATGGCGGAGAAGGAGCAGACGGCTGGCAGAGTTGGGAACTTTGGGAGGTAGAGGATGGGAACCATGTGGAGGCAACTTCTGTCACCATGCCACCATGTGTCCCTCAACCCGCCATCTGTAGCGAGACGTCTGGGTGGAGCTGGCCGCCTTCCTCCCCAGAAACGAGTAGGCACATTCACATGCCCACAGTCCATTCTCTGGCTTGAAAAGACAAAACCTCTCTTCAAGTGGCGGAGGCTGGGACTTGACCTTTCCTTCCATTGGCTTTTAAGCTCCCCACTGACTTGACCTCCTCCCCCAGCCGAGAGGCCGGCCTGAGCCCAGCTCTCAGATCTAAAGAGAGCTGACTTCACTCTGGCTCTTAGAGAAAGGGACACAATGGAGAACGCTCAGTGGCCAGAATGGGTCAGTGCCAGAGAGAAACGCTTCGGCTGCCTGATGTCACCGGTCAGGCATCCTGAGGCCCACAAGCCTCTGGGGGTGGCAAGAGTAGCGCCAAGCACCTCCTTCTTGTACGTCTGAGAGCGCTTGGCATCCACTCCGGTGGTGAGCACCCCAGAGTACCAGAGTCAGTGTGAGGCCTTGGCTAATTCCAGGGCTTCTGGTCAAAATGCCACCCGAATGTTGGCCCTCATTCAAAGACTTCCAGACAGCTCTCTCAGGTAGCCTCCACACTCTACAGGCAACCGCACTGATGGGCACAGACCAGCTGCAGGGACCGAGAAGGACCTGCCCTCTCATCACTTACTTCCCCGTGATAAGGAGGCTAAGTTGGAACCAGAGCCTGTGCAAGCGCTGGGGCTGATCCTGGCCTTGGCCTGGCTCACATACAGGAGGGAGCCTGGCAGGAGGGAGTGCTATTGGTTTTTAAAGTAACTCAGACCTAGCAGGGAGGGACCACAGAGGGAAAGCGTCCCCCACCCTCAAGCCTGTTCCTTTAAGCAGCAGCAGCATGCTTTGGCAGCGGGTCCTTTACAGGGGTGTAAGGTAATAAATTCCAACTGTGCTCAGAATATGGAAACGAGGCTCTGACAAGGCGGGGAGGGGGCTCGAGCACCCAGCTGCTGATTTCCCGTTTATGGAGATGGGCTGGGCTGTTTGGCTCACAAGGCAACTCGGTCCACACCAGGAAATGTAGCCCAGTGCTCGGCTGGCCCCCAGCTCCACCCGTTCTCGGGAGAGAATCTCAGTGGCAGCTGGAGAAGGGCTGACAGCAGGCACTTGGAAGGTTTGCCCGGCAGCCAGGGCAGGTGAGGAATGAAGCTTCCGGGGGCCGGGCTCGGTGACACCCCTTCCCCCACTCTAATTGCACATGCTGCCACCATCTCACTTCCCCATCTGTTCAGAGGCTGACATTTCCGAAGCCTCGGCATGGAAACCAACTGTAAATGGGTGGTTTTCCCCAAGAAGCAGAGGAAAGACGGCTTCTCCATATTTCTGTCTTGGGGATGGAAATGGCCCACTCCCCACATGGCCTAGTGATCCCCTGGTTACACAGCGAACAGCGGTCATTCCCAGAGCAGGCTTTTCTCCAGTCTGGATCCTGATCTTAGGGGAAGCATCGTTCTGGTGACAATGCTGAACTTTTTTTTGGCTATCCAACATCCATCCCTTCTTCTTTTGGTAACTGGCTTGCTCTATTGGGGAACCTGTCCCTAACACAAGCTATGCGCTGTGAACGGAGCTTGCGTGACTCAGAGATGAAGCACGTGGCCTACGTATAAGCCAATTAGAAGACTGCAGAAACCCAACCACGGGGGTTGGCTGAAGGATAAGCACTTCACCCAATCAGAATCTAATGAGACACAATGAGATGGTTGTGGGCACCTCTGGGCAAGAGGGAGATATTCTTTCCACTGGAGTTCAACTTGCAAGCTTCCAAAACAAAAAAACAACAACAAATTAACTGCCATTGAGTTGATGCCAACTCATAGTGACCCTATAGGGCAGGGTGAAACTGACCCTGGGGGTTTCTAAGATTGTAACTCTTTACAGGAGTAGAAAGCCTCGCCTTTCTCCTGTGGAGTGGCTGCTGGTTTCAAACTGATAACCTTGCAGTTAGCAGCCTAATTTGTAACTACTACGCCAAAGCTGGAAATCAGTCCCCTGCCCCAGGAGGAAAAGGCCTGAGAATAAGTAGTGCAAAGAGACAAAGTCTTCATATGCTTCTTGGTCCTGAATCCAATCAGGCCTACAGATCCATCCAGAACTTTCCTATTACATAAGCTTATATACATCCTCTCTTCTGACTTAGCCAACCCCACCCCAATAGAATAGGTTATGAGTTGGGTTGTGAACTGCAAGGTTGGCGGTTCAAACCCATTAGCTGCTCTGTGGAAGGAGAGATGAGGCTGCTTGCTCCCATCAAGACTGACAGCCTTGGGAGCCCTGAAGAGCAGCCCCACTCGGTCCTGTGGGGTCGCTAGGCATTGGAACTGACTTGACGGCGACGAGCTTAGTTTGGATTTGTTTTGGTCACGGGGGCTTGGTGGCACAGTGGGTACACTGCTGGTGTGCTAACCAAAAGGGTCAAACCCGTCAGCCACTCCAGGCGCGATGCAGAGGTCTGCTCCTGTGAATGTGAGGCAGTTCTACTCTGCCCCGTCGGGCCGGGATGAGTCAGAACCAACTCGATGGAGGCAAGAGGATTCAGTGGGTGCTGGTCCTGTTGCAGGCACTGGGGTGCAGAGTCCTCAACTGCGCCGCCCTCAGCCACGCTGCCCTGCCGGCGCGGCCAACCGCAGATGGCATTTTAGCTCCACCTCTTCCTGGAGGTCTCCATTCTGATTTTTATGTTCAATAAACCAAACCAAACTCACTGTCATTGAGTCTATGCTGACTCATAGCAACTCCTAGGAAAGGCTGGACCTGCCCCGGTGGGTTTCCAAGACTATAAATGCTTTATGGGAGTAAAAGTCTTACTTTTTTCCCATGGAGCTGCTGGTGGTTTCAAACTGCCAACCTTGTGGTTTGTAGCCTAACATGTAACCCAGCAAGACCCCAAGGGAATGATAGACTTTATTATTAACCTCAGGAGAATAGGATCGCCCAGAATCTCATGACAATAGAATCCACTCCCCTGGTAAACTGTCGCCCCACAAGGCCTCTAGAGCCTGGCTTCCCCTCAGCAGTCAATTATTGTAGCCTCACCATTTGGCACCACTCCCTCCCCCGAGAAGTTTTGGAACACACCTGCTGGTTACCTCCTTTCAGCACACTGGCCCGTTCAGGTGTTCCCCTACGAATTTTTCTAACTCCTTCACACCTCAGCGACCTCTGCAGCCGGCTGTTCGCCCCCTCGAGCATGTAATCCCAGGGACTGCAGGCGGTGCTCCGTCAGTGCTGAGAAAATGAGCCGTGTTTGCCTCACTTCAGTAGGACAGACACTTGCCTGAGAGGAAGCCAGCCTGCCCATTCTCTGCCCAGAGTTAGGAATCTAGAGACAAGTGAAGTGAGACGAGTGCCTGGGGCTGGGGGTGTGGAGAGGGCCTCACCATGTCCCCCATGTGGGGCTGGAACTCAAACTTCATAGGTGGACAGAAGACGTTGTTGCACATCTCCATGAGTCGCTGCTTGTCGCTGGCGGCATCCAGGTTCTCTACTGCGTTCTCGATGGCGTCCAGGCCCTCGTGCTTTGACTGCTCCAGGTTTAACTCGGCGGAGAGGAAGGTGCGCAGGGCCCGGTTCAGGCTGGCGTGGTAGCCCAGGTCACAACACTGCTGTGGGTCAGAGAAAGAAGGTCTGTGAGCACCGTACACAACCTGAGGGCTTGGTGGGCAAGGAGGGTGGCCCTTGGGGCAGATCTGAGACTGGCATGCAGTGGGAAGAAGGCTGACAGGTCAACCTCCAAGCTCGGGGGCGAGCTCGGTTCTTGACTCCCCGTGCCATGGACACTTAGACACCCCAGAGGGTGTGGTGGCTAGAACGAGGTTGATTCATGAGGATGACAAGGTGTCACTTAACCCCGTGTTGTGGAATTCTGTTTGGTAAACACAGGCAGGGTTGAGGGTGCTTCTATTTTTGGTTTGTCTTTGGAGGCCGTCATCACAAAATTCAACTATGAGAATGTGGATGCCAGTCCTCGAGGGTTCCTGTAGGTAAGTCACCACACTGCAACCAAGCAACCTCTTCAGCATTAGGGGGTCAGAAATCAGGAGTGTTGTTAGAGCAGTTAACGTCCCCAAACTTACTCAGAACTCTGGGTGGGTAAAAAGAGAGTGGGGCAGGTGGGGAGGTGTACTAATTTTCCGTCAGCCATTCCTCCCACCAACTCCCACCATTCTGAGACAGGCCTTTGCTACAGACTAGGATTTCTGTACTGAGGCCCCTGTCCTCCAGAAACTGCACCTACATATAGGCCCAAAGAACTCAAAACAAGTCTTCATGGAAAAATTCAGACCACATAAGAAAGAAAATGACACGGAAGAGAATACATTAGAAAACCACCGCTGGACAAAGAGGCCAGTAACCATGGAAAGACCACTTCCCATCCTCTAGCCTGCTTCCTCCACTGCCAAACGGCCACGTCTGACCAGGGCAGTGGTTTCTGGTGGCCCAGCAGCGACCCGAGAGGCTGTGCCAGTGCGCAGAGGCTGCCTTTGGGAAGGCACTACAAGGACAGCCATGCTGGTGGGCCTTGGTGTCTTTGAGCCCTGCTTCAACCAAACCACTTCTGCTGCTCGTTCTATGTAACATCTTGGCGATTCTGCATAAGGTCTGGCTTGGAGAAAGAGCTCTTCTCCTAGAGAAAAGGATTGGAAATCCTTGGGCTCAAAGGTGTTCCCAAGATCCTCTTTGGTTACAACATTCTATAACCTGATGACAGACTCCCTCCCAGGCCCGAAGGACTCGGAGATTCACATTTCTAGGACTTCTATTATGCTATCTATCGCTCCCTCACTCTGAGGTCCAGAAGCTAAGAACTGTCAGAGAGGAAGCATCCACAGATAAAGATGATCTGTCTGAATGCCAGTTCACTCCATATGCAGACATCAAATTAACACCCTCCCCCCCCACCCCTTGAATCAAAGATCACACTGGGAGTGGTCGTTATTGGGGAAGAAAAAACACGTGGTCGCTTCCTCCCCCTCAGAAGCTGACAAGATGCTCAGCGACCGAACGCCTTTCAGGCTGAGCTCTGGGTTCAGTGCCAAGAGGCCCTGGCAGGTGCCTGGCTGCAGCGGAAGCACAGCAGTTACTGCTTAAGGAGAGGCAGAGGATGGGGAAGCATTACATTCAGTGGGGAGGGAAGAGCAAATGGAAGCAAAACAAAAGCGGCTGATTGGGAGGCTGCACGTGCAGGGGCCTGCCTGCCTCCACTGGGAGATGCTGCTTGCTGGTCTGCCATTGAACCCAGAAACCGTCAGTGTAGACCCTGATGGCTAACTCTATGCCTCTCTAATGACCAGAAGTAATGGCGCTGCCCACCCACAGGCTGAACAAGTGTGTGTGGCAGAGTGTCTTAGGAGGGTGGGCTCTTAAGGCAGAAAAGATGGAGGGGAGGCAACGTGTTCTTCATAAGCCTTTGCATGCTTCTGGTAACCCACCTTTCCTCTTTGTTCTAACTAACCCTACCCTGTTTCCCTCTGTATTATCTTACACCAGCGCTTAGTGGGCCTTAGTGATGGAATGGTTATACGTTGGCTGTGGTCTGTAGTTCGAAACCACCAGCTGTTCTGAGAGAGAAAGACTAGACCTTACTCCCATAAAGAGGTCAGTCTCAGAAACTCACAAGGGCAGTTCTACCCTGTCCGACATGGTCACTATGAGTTGGCGCTGACACGATGGCAGTGTGAGTGTGAGTGCTGCATGCTTAGCTGTGTTAAAATGTGTGCTGAAGAACTCTTAATAGCTTTCATGTGCTGCTAAGGCAAAGTTTCTGTTCCCCTGTTTGGCGATTGAACATTGCCTCGATTGGCTGTGTGTGCTTACTATATACCAGACAGTGTGCTAAGTGCTCTGTATGTATTCTCCATTCTAATCCTCACAGGAACCCTAATGAGGTAGATAGCACCTGAATTTGCCAGACCAAGGAGCTGGGGCTCAGTGACGTTAACAGAACTAGAGCAAGGTCAGAGCCGGAACAGACTAATATGTCCTCAACTGACCCACCCCACACTGTCTACATGTTCTTCCTCAGACGTGTCCTAACCCAATGACATGCTCTCTGTGTAGAGCCAAACTCAAAACCCAACTCACTGCCAGCACGTTGTTTCTGACTCACAAAGACCCTACAGGCCAGGGGAGAGCTGCCCCTTTGGGTTCTAGACTGTCCGTCTGTGTAGGAGTGGTCAGCCTCACTGTTCCCTTGTGGAGCAGGGACTGAAAATTCACGAACATGAAATCAGATGTGTGACCTTCGGCAAGCTATGAGCCCCTCGGGGCCAGTGAACACAGGAAATATGTTGGCATCCATCAGGGACCACATCACTTACTATAACATCCTTCCTGAAACGTAGACCCTGCTTCTCGGCTGCTAGATTGGGCCTCATCTTCTTGACCAAAATCAAACTCCCTGCTTCTGGGAAGTCAACCTGACAGCCCGGCACCCCTGACCTTGCTTGGAACCGAATCCGCGTGCGGCCCCAGCGTGTCACAGAGTCTGCTCCTCCCCACTGGAATTGCCCTTCCCTATCACCTTGACCAGAAGGTGAGCTTCGTCAAGAGCCTGACCAGCGTCTTATTGTTCTTTCTGGCACTCACCATAATGCCCTTCCCGTAGCAGGCATTCAATAAACTCAGCTGATGGATTGATCCCAGGAGTCTCACTTCCAGCCTCTCGGAGAATGATACCAACCAAAGCCAAACCCATAGGCACCACCTCAGAGTTGTTCTCACATATAATGAATGACCCTACAGGACAGAGAAGAACTCCCCTGAGGGGTTCCAAGCTGTACGTCTTTGTGGAAGTAGACTGCCCCCTCTTCTCCCTCGGAGTAGCTGGTTCTAGCGTCTGGCCTTTTGGCTAGCAGCCCAGCACGGAACCACCGTGCCATCAGGGCTCCTTGGGGAAGAGTGCACAGAGGTTGAAGTCAAGTGGGTAGATGTGATCGCTGAAGACTTCTGTTTTGCTTAATCTGTATGCCCTAAAGGAACTCCTCTGGTGCCTTAGTGGGGGATGCACGGGGCTGATAAGCACAAAGTCAACAGTTTGAAACCACCAGCCGCTCCCCCAGGAGCAAGAGGCGGCTTTCTCCTCCTGGAAAGAGTTACAGACTTGGAAATCCACAGGAACAGTTCCACCAGGTCTTTCAGGGTCACTGAGTCAGAATGAACTCGAGGGTAGGGAGCTGGGAGTTTTGAGCTTGGCCGGAGGAAGGCAGGGAGTTGGTCTACTGCAACTACCTACATGACTTCTGTAGCTGGGTTGTGCCAGCGAGGTGGCTTCTGACCTGTGGTGTGGCTTCTGACCTTTGGTGTGCCTGCCTTCTGCATCCCCCAGGCCCTGGGGGTAAGAGCCAGAAGCTGAGCCCTCAGGAAAGAAGCCCTTTCTGGTGCTCTTTGGAAATCTCATCCCTCTGAGAGCCCCAGTGGTCGAGGCAGCACATTATTTTGTCTACAACGGGGACAGAGCAGGCTTTCCACTGCCTCGGAAGAATTCTGTGGCCATTTCTGGGTTATGTCAATGTTTGAAGAAAACCCTCTGCAGGGAAATCAAGTTCGTACAGCCCATCCAGATGTCTGATGACCGGAGTTGATGGCTCATTGCCCCTTTACCAGCCGACTTCCTCACTCAGAGGCACCACAGAGGCCTTGGGAGAGAAAACTGGGTGTCTCCTAAGACCACCTCAAGCTCACCCTAAGAGAAAAACACTGCTCTTAGTAAAAATTCCTCAGGAAATCGAGCTCTCTTGTTGCCTGACTTTGGGAACGCATGACCTCCCAAACTTTCTGTCCACAGACGCTCTGCACGGGGACAACGTGCTGTTCTTCATTTAGCCATCTGCTCCTGGGCTGAGCACGTCTCGGGAGGACGGGGAGGAAGCTCACATTCCAACGAGGCTCCAGTTCTTAGACGCTATCAAGTGAGCTCAGAATATCTTTCTGGCTGGCACTCAAGGTCTTCCTGGCGTGTGTGAGACGCCTCCCATGGATGCCTCTAGTGTGACTTTCAGGCTTATGCCGGACTATAAAGAGCAGTTGAGCCAGCCTTGCGTCACTGTACCAGGATGGGGGTGGTGTATGTGTGTGTGTGTGTAACCAACCACAACAACTTCTTTTCACTTATCCTCCACGCCTTAGGCACAGAGTGCGCTTCCACACTCCGAAGAGGGAGGCCTACAGGTGTGCACAACACAGATGGCAATGGACTGGAACAAGACTCGTTCCACAGCAAGTTCTGGAGACTGTCAGGATCCGAATGCCAACACACTCCGCTTCCCCACTTCCCCTGCTCAAACTGCCAGTTCAGCTCCAAAGTGTGGCTTTTGGGGGCCTTTTTTTTTTGGCATCACTCACTGCCATCGAATCAATGTCGATTCATGACGACCCTATTGGACTGGGTAGAACTGCCCCAGTGGGTTGCCAAGGTTTAACTCTTTAATGGGAGGAGAAAGTCCCATCTTTCACCCCTGCAGAGCAGCTGGTGGTTTCGAACTGCTGACCTTGTGGATCGCAGCCCAACCCATAACCCTTATACCATCAGGGCTCTCGTATTGCATAGGTCACTCTAAAAAGGAACAAACACTGATATGAGCAACAACATGGGTGAAGCCTAACAACCTGCTAAGCAGAAAAGGGCAAATACCAGAATATATCTGCTGAATAATCCCATCTCTGTGAAATTCTAAAACGGACCACACTGGCTTATGTTGAAACAGGCTGCCTAGGGGTTGGGATGAATTGACTGGAAGGAGGTCAGAGGAACTTTCTGAGGGGCTGACAATATTCTGTAGCTTGCTAAGAGATGTAGGTTCCAACTTAACCACTGCTGTTGAGTCTGATTCTGCTGCACAGCCATGCTGGAGGGCAGAGCAGACTTCTCGTTAGTGTTTCCAAAACTTAAAAGAGCAGCCTCATTTATAGTCTCATTTTTCTCTCATGGAGTGACTGGTGGATTTGAACCACCGACCTTGGGGTTAGCAGTCCGATGCTTAGCACTACTAGGGCTTTTTATATGGGTTTCTCAAAGTTCTCCAAACGGTAACAAGTCATTGTATGAAAACTGTACCTTAATTAAAAATATATATATTTAAAAGGCCCCCCAAATAATCTTGATTTAAGTTATCTTCTCTTCCTCCTTCCTTTTCTCAACGAACATTAGTGCTGGTGGCTACTTATGAAAAGGGAAGATTTGGGGCCTGCCCTTGGGGAGCAGCTTCTTCTGTTCCTCTGTCCTGAGTGGCTCTGCTCTCAGGGCTTTCTGAACCCCCGACTCAGTAGAAAGTGAATATTGTATTGCAACACCTGTTACATACGTGCATGTATACCTGCACCCTCACCCCCACAAATTACAGCTTCAAAAAGTACAAAGTAACCTTAGATCAGGGACGTCTGCTCTCATAAAGATGGTTAGCCTCAGAAATCCCATACAGGATTGCTGTCAGAATTGACTCAATGGCTGTGGGGAAATGGGGAATGCGATACACTCGGGTTTACTCTATTAATTTATGAAAAATGGGTCAAAGCCCCTAATGAGAGTCAACATCTACAGTTTGAAAAAGTCTTAACGCCCCCTGTGCTCACCTCTGGCACTGCAGTTGCCTAGTTTCATAGACAGGATCTGATTGTGCAGATACGAAACTCTCCAGGCCAAACAGACACTCTTATTCCTTTCTGTACCCATAGTGAAGGAGCCTTGGGCAGTGCATCTGGCTTCTAATGGCAAGGCTAGCAGTTCGAAACCACCAGCTGCTCCTCAGGAGAATGATGAGGCTTTCTTGGAAGAGCGGCAGTCTCAGAAACCCACAGGGACAGTTCTACCCTGTCCTGTAGGGTCGCTGTGAGTCAGAATTGACTTGGTGGCAGTCAGTGCCTGACACCACTCTCCCCACAAATTACTAAACATTTACAGTGCAGAATAATTATATCACACCCCCCTGCTCCCAACCCCCCTTTTAAAGAGAGTAACTACTTGCCCCAGGGAGGAAGAGCGAACTGAAGCAAACAACAAACAAACAGGATATAACAAGGCACAACAAAAGCATCGCAGCCGGAAACAAGAGCAGCTTCACTACCCACATGGCCGGGAAGGCTGCCAAGCTGGACTTAGCCATGGTAACCTAGACCCGCACCCAGGCTGGGGGAGGGGAGAATGGCTTCTTTATGGTTCGTCAGAATTAGGCTCTTGGCACACTTAGCACACTTACAGACGACCACCACCACAAACTCAAATGATGAGAGCAAGGTCGGAAACAGCTTGCTTCTCGGATTGACTTTAAAACACCTGCTACAAGCAGTTAGTGAGCTCGGCTGCCAACCAAAAGGTTGGAGGTTCAAATCTGCTCAATGGTGGACTCCATGTGCTTCCAAAAATCCAGCCACTGAAACCCCGTAGAGCACTGCTCTACTCTGGCACACGGGGCGTGGAGGGGGGAGGCATGAGGTAGAGTCAGCGAGCTAGCAACTGGTTTGGGTTTGGATTGTGGCTCATACCTGATACGAGGGTCTGTGGATTGCACAGGTTGTGGCTCATCCATCAGTAGCCCTTTCTTGGCTGAGGTCAGCGCTGTGGGGCAAGGGGTGGGAAAGGGGCCCTGGAAGGACACACCAGAGGGAGAGGTGCGGCTTACTGGACGGTCTGGGTGCCAGATAAGCCAAAAACGAGCCTAAGAAATCACTGATTATCTCCCTCGTGCTGAGAACAAGCCTCTCTCCCAACAGTGAGGGGCTGTCCCTCCGAGGAGGCAGAAAGGATCTTGTTTAGGGCTTTGACCTCCATTGAAGGACAGTGTTCAGATTGGCATCAACAAGCGGAGAGAACAAAGAGGCGCCTGAGCTGGACTCAGGGCTCCGTTTACCCAGGGAGACGATGACACCGGGGGCATTAGGAGGCTGACAGCCAGGGAATCCAAACTGCCTGGGTGAAGAGACACGACTTGAGCTTAGAAAAGCTCCCAAGCAACCCTGATAAGAGACCAGATGAAACAGGAATGGGCAGCAGTCCAGGGGAGTTAAGTGACGGCCCCAGGTGACCTAGTTGGTTATGTAACAGTGAGTGAGTCTCAGACCAGAACCCAGAACCCCACACGATGAGCAGGTGTGATGGCAGGTCTGCTTGAGGAGAAACCAAGGCAGACACTCTTGCAAGGTCCGTCTGCTGAGAGCTGGAGGCCCACGCCAAGCCTCAGTCAGAGAGACGGGGATGCAGACGGCACATCAGCCAGGGCCTGGGCCCTCCCGTCGATGGCTGGGAGGGAGGGAGAAAGGGTGTTTATGTGGCTTCAATCAGGGCTGCTTCAGAAACAGGCCACTTCACGTCCTACACGGAGAGGGCTCCCAGACTCAACTCTAAGGTCTCAGGGAAGCAGCAGGAGAAAAGGAGCCCGGGGCAGACCTAGAAGCCCAAAGACAAAGGGCTTATCCTTTGTGGCGTGTGGTTGGTTGTGGTTGAGTCCGTTTTGACTGTGACGCCATGCGTGCTGAGCAGGAATGCGCTCCGTTCATAGGATTGTCAATGGCGGGTATTTTGGAAGTCAATGGCCACACTGTTTTCTGAGGCATCTCTAGGTGGGTTGAAATCGCCATCCTTTGGCTACTGGTCAAGTGCGTGTGGCTGCCCAACGCAGATCACACACATCTTCCCAACCGCCTTTGCACCTCATTTCAGAAAGAATAGGCCAGATCTCAGGGCATCTAGAAATCCGCCAGATCAAGATCCTAATGGGTGGTGCAACCCCGTGGGCCCCTAGATTCCATAAGCACAAATCAGAGATTATAATATTTACCTATATGGGTGATGTGACAATCAATCCAGATGGAATTAAGAAGTATTACTGTCTTACAAATGTCAACAAGAGCAGTCTTTTCAACTCTTGCCACTAACTTTTATAGAGTAGCTGGTCTAAGGGACTATTTCTTTGGGGTGGAAGGATAGAATGATTATGAGTATGGGTTTGAAGGATAGAATGATTATGAGCATGGGTTTGAAGGATAGAATGATTATGAGCATGGGTTTGGGATCAGACTCAGGTGCAAATGTCTCCATTACGATCAGTTGACTCTGGGTGAGTGAGCCCAGACTCTCTGAATGTCAAGCTGTCAAAATGGGGAAGTGGGGACTCCACGAGATGATGTGTGAAGTGTTTCTCCTGTCACCGGCAAGCCCCTGATAGACGGTGGCTGCTATCTTCATAACTATTCCAAAGATATCGAGGTCGCTGAGCAACGCAAGGGGGGTGCCGCAGACCGGGGTTCCAGTGCTGCGAAAGAGGTGCCCTTGGAGGCCTGGCTTTAAGTACTTACATCAATAAGGTCCGACAGGTCGTGGATGTAGTACTTGAAGACAGACGCATTGGTTGCCTCCAGAGCCAGCAAGTACTCATTCCGGGCTTTAATGGCCTTCAGCTTATTCTCCGTGTACTTGGCTTGGCGCTGAAAAGGGAACAGTGTTCAATTTTACTTAAAAAAAAATTTTTTTTTTTGAAAAGGAAAGGCTTTTCTCGGAGCGATGAAAGTACAGTACATCCCAGAACCACATTATGCTGCTATTCCCAACGCGCATCTGCCATAGATTGGGTTCTAATTCTGTGTAATGAGATTCTGGCTCGGAATGTAGATCGATGCAGGAAAGGTTAACGAGGCGCCCTGTGTCAGAGTCGTGCCCCACTTTGGTTCTCTCTGCAAACGCCAGGCTCTGTCCTGGCATTCGCTGTCACCCAAAAGAAGTTTCCCTACCCCTGACCCTGAACACCTGACATCCCAAGCCAAACTGTCTACACCCTCCTCCCCCGACCCCACAAATGCCCCAGCACTAGTAGGGCTAACTGGCTCTGTTTAGAAAACGGACTGGGGAGGACGACTACCGGTTCTCATTTCTCTGAGAGAGCAGGGCCTGGAACCTTTACTCTGCCAAGAACCATTGGGACAGTTGTTACATCATTCGCAAGCCCTAGTGGTCAAACAGCTAATTCACTCACCCCATGTGATGGCTGGATTTCTTGTCCTTAAATGGCTGGATGATCCCCGCCCCCAGGCTAGAGGTTGACAACTTCCAATAACTAGGATTTCTCCCTTACTAGGGCTCACCTTGCTCCCTTGCTCTGCTCTTCAGGGCACCTATGAGGATGCTCCTATCAGACTGGCTCCCCATAGCAATCAGACACGACCCCGCCTGCTGTCCAAGCACACCTACCTTCTCCTTCATCTTCTCAATCTTCTTCACCGAGCTCCTCCGGACGTGCTTCTCCTCGATGCGAACGTTCGACGAGGAGTCAGGGGAGCGAGGGGTCTGCCGGTCCTCCTGCTTGACCGATTTGCCAATTTGTTTCTCCTCCTGCTTCTCCGCTTCCTTGAGTTTGCTCTGAGCACTGATGCTGTCAGCATTGTACATGTGATATGTCTTCATGACCTGCAAGACACCCCCGCCCGCGTCCCTAAAGGTCAAGCCAATGGGGTCAATTCTCTGCTTTACAGACGAACAGACTCCAAGGGACCTCTGCCTGCCACTGAACAGTGTCCTCAGACCCTGAAGGGCAAAGTCCAAAAGTGTTTGGTTAGGTAAGCGCCATCAATAAAGACTATGCCGGCACAGGGAAGCGGGCTTTGGACGAAGTCAGCATGTCTTAGGCAGGGCAGCATGCCCACCATGTATCAGTTATTCCTGTTCCTTATCATTGGTAAAACATGGCTCTTCTTAGCAGCCAAGGGCTTTCCATGGCTTCCCAGTACTGAGTGGATAGGAAGCCATGCTGCTGTAGCATGCATGGGCTGGTTAAGAACCAAAGGCAGTGCTGTGGAGGAGGAGTCTGTATGCTTTGCTTATTTTAGAACCTAAAAGTGAGGAAAAGGCTTTATACTGGTCTGGCATTCTGGGGGGCCGTCTGCTCTGCTTTGTCCTGATCAAACAGCAAAACCCTCTCCACTAGAGCAGCAGCCACAGTAACAATGTCAGCTTCCACTTGCTGAGCCCAGGGCACATTCCCAGCCTTGGGCCCAGTGCTGTGCCGGCAGGCCTCTCCTTTTAGCCTGGTAGCAGTCCTAGGATCTGGACCACAACCCATGGGCACTGTAGACCAGCACAGTGTGAGGTAGTTAGTTTATTGTGCCAACCTAGCTGATAAACACATGCGGGATTAATTGAAGGGCTCAGCTTGTCTCTTGCTCTTTGGTCATTGGACCAGTGTGCAGCTGCCTTGCTTGTTCTTTGCCTCAATTTGCAAGCTACACTACCTGTGGGACACCTAACCCATGGACTGGGTCACTGTAATTTGAGGTTCCTTCAAGACCTGCTTTGCCACACCATTGGAATTTACATTTCTTGAGCTGGGGACTGTCGGACCCTGTCATCTGGCTGACTATTGATGACCTGCCTTGCTGTTTGCTGCCTGTGCCTGGATAGCCTGAAATGCTCTACAGAGGACTACCTGGTGGCCCTCAAGACTTGAAGGACTGCCAGTGTCTCACAACTGTCTCACGGGAGTGAGTTGCACTGAGCCATTTATACTGCTTGAGAATTTAATTAACTGTTTATTTCTTATGTTATTTATCTATATATCTGTGTAAATATATATAGTGTGTGTATATATATATATGTGCGTGTGTATATATATGTATATATATAAATATATATAAATAAATAAATTTACTAGCATTCTGGTTTTGTTTCTCTAGAGAACCCTAACACACAGTGATTCAGCTAAGAGCCAGGGAAGAAAGAAAACCCACAGCAAGTGCAACCGGGGTGGCCATAGCAGGGGTGAAGCACCAAAGCACAGAGGTGCGTCCGCTTGCTAATTTCTCATCAAAGCATTCCCATGAACAAGGAGGCCGAGAAACAGGAAACTAGATGTTCCTTTCAAATCTTCCTCTGCCACACTCCTCCCTCCAGAGAGCTGTTTCTGAAACACAGGAGCCTCGATTTCTCTCTGGACTTAAAATGCTGCTACCATGTGTTATTGTAATCTGAAGTTCAAGAGTGCTGGCACTGTGATGCCAGGAGATTTTGTTGAGGGGACTGGGAAAGTGGAGGGATCGGGGAAGAGCGGAGTGAACAACAGAGGAGGGGACATAACAGTGATGGCTACACGTGGTCAGTATGTACCTCATGCCAAGTGCTTTATGAACTTGGCTTCATTAAATCCTCAGTGAGACTAGTTCTACTTTTACAGATGAGCAAACTGAGGCTTAAAATGGTCATCATGCCCAGTCATGAGCTTGAACTGCCAGCCTTATAGCTAACAGCCCAACACCTAGTCCACAGGGCCACCAGATCCCTTCGGTAGATGACAAAAGCAGGATTCAAACGCAGGTCTGTCAGACTCCAAGTCCACATTCCTAGCTACAAAGTTACACTGCCCCTCCTCTGTGTAAGACTCAAACTCGTAACACCAAACTCGCTGCCATTCAGTCTTATAAGACAGAGTAGAACTCCCTTGGTTTCTGAGGTGGAAACTCTTTATGGAAGTACCAAATCTCATCTTTTACTGGGGATGCGGCTAGTGGCTTTGAACTGCTGACTGCTTAGCAGCCCAACGCGTAACCCACTACACTACCAGGGGTCCTTTGTATAGGACTGGAGCTGGGTTACAGGGAAGAAAGGTGATCATAACTGAACATATAGAAAGTTTGCGTGGTCTATCTAACAAGGGTGGTCTTGTTCACACTGGTTTCTAAAGGATGTACCGTAAGAATGCCCAGTTATTGAAGCCCGCCTCAGCAGTTAGGAAAACATCTTACTTTCCCTTAGTAACTCAATACGGGCTGGGCATTGGTCCATTCCTGGTAGCCAACAAACTGTCTACTCATGACAAGAGGTGCTCAGAAGCTGAACATGTACAAGTTTGCTTGCTAAGGGTCTGAAATCATAGAAGCCTACCCAGAGTATCTTGAAGAGATAGGACATTCCCTGAGGGATGGACGTTGGCCCAGCAGCCCACTGGGGACACTGGGTAGTCTCTGGAGGCATTTTGAAGTGTCAAATCTAGGGGTTTGCAACTGGCAGCTGGAGGCCAGGGGTGCGACAGGATGGTCACTCCAATCACAGAATTATCCAAGCCCACACATCCGCAGTGCCAAGGATGAACCGATCTCCACAGGACCTTGTGGATACCCTTGTCCTTGAGAGATGTGGCCTCTAGAGTCCTGGGGCCGTCAGACAGTGCAGGGCAGAGTGGGTTACTGCAGATGCGGTTAGACGGAAATGGGGCACCTTCACATTGCAGCTTGCATTTGACCCACTGTGAATTTGTTCCGGTGGTTAATGTTGCCTGCTTTCTTTCCCGTTGGTTTTTCTGTTTTATTTTGCCATCATTGTGTCGTTGGTTTTTGTCCTGTATGTGCTTCTGTATATAAACTCCAGAATAGGTACATCTGTAGCGACAGTAATTGGATTCATAGTTTCCTCGGGTAATGGCAAGGGACGTTGTGAGGAAATGGAGAGGGGACAACAATGAGCCCAAGAAAGAAGAAAATGTTCTAAAATTGATGGTGATAATGATTTCCACTATCGAGGAGGTCGAGAAAGCAGAAACTGTTTCATATGACTGAACTATTGAATTGCACTATGTGTGACTTATATGTCAATAAAACTGTGGAGAAAATAATATTGGGATACAGAGCAAATCCAAGTATGTGAGAATCTAAGTGATGCCCCATTTCGGAGGAAGACTGTCTCGAACCGGCTTCACCTTATTCTGAGCCTGAGGCCATGTCCTACAAGGAGAAGACGCTCACACTAAGCATGGGAGCAGCGCTATTTAATGACGAGCAGCATGGGGAGGCTCGTCTGAGTACTGTGTCACGCCCCAGGTCTCCAGGTGCACTCAGCAGTGGAAAGCAACACCATCCTGGCTGAAGAAGGGTGGTGGGAAGTTCTGACCAAGGGACTGCATGGAAGGTGGTGGGGCAGCCATCAAAGTGAAGACGGTAAAGAAAGTGACAGCCCAGCTCGTGAACAATGTAAAGAGGAAACGCTGAGACTGAACATGGAGACCCCCCCAAAGCTCAAAGACACAGTGCGAAGAAGACAACAAAGTCAGAAAAACCACCATTTAAAACAAGGCTCCAGTCCTTGGAAGAACTCAAAGTGCACTCTTGTCCTGGGAAGAGTGAAACGCTCCACCCCGCCCCCCACCCCTTGTCAGAAACGGTGCATTCCTGAGCAAGCGCAGGCGCCACTCCTGCTTCTCACGCGCTCTCCTCCACAGTGGGGAGAGTGGGCATGTTCTCCCCATCCCTGCGGGGGCCCAGTGACACCAAGCCTCCTCTGTGGAACCACCGTGGGCAATTCCTAGTCCCCCCGCCCAAGGGAAGATTGAGGTGCTTCGAGGCTGCAGCTTGAACAAGCAACGCCTAAACAACTGGGCAAAGAGGGACGCCAAGCTGAGACATGAAGAAATTAGAGGGGAAAACCTCAGAAATCTACACTCTCAGTTTTAAAAGGCCTATCACTCTCTTTTGAAAAACTAATTTTGAGTTCATGCACCTAGCTCTGACGCTGCCCAAACCCCACTGTAAGAAGACAAAAGTATTTTTAAAATTCTGAATGTATGATGAATAGAAGTAGAACATGAAAAAGGTGGGATGGGCAGGTGGTCAGTAACTTACCGAATCCTTCCCCAAATGTGGGCACAGCCCCAAATCAACCTGCTACATGGCAGGAGCCTGTGAGGAACCCGAGGCCGTGGCATGATCCCACTGTGGTTGAGCTGACTCAGAGCAGATCCTACAGGACAGAGAACTTCTCCATAGGGTTTCCAAGGCTGTATATCTTCCTGGAAACAGACTGCCTCATCTTTCTCCTGCGGAGTGACTGTAGCTTCAAACTGCTGACGTTTTGGTTAGCAGCCCTATACTTAACTCACAGTGCCACCAAGGGCTCCTTTTAGTAGCATGGAGGTGAAACTGAAAACAAGCGAGATGATGGGAATCTGTTTAAGAACTGTAAACCCCCTCTCCTTTCCCACCATCACAGACAAACTTGAGGTCTACTCTCTTACAGAGTCCAGACTGGCTAGCTAGGGGCTGGGTAAGGGCCCTGAACTGAAGACAGGAGGGTCAACAGGAAATTATATATTGAACAAGAGGGACATTCCAGGCCTTGCCTCAACTCAGCTTTCAGAGGTGCAGTTAGCAGAGTTCACGACTCAGAAATACAGCTATCTGCAATTCTCCACGGACAAGGCCTCGCTAGTTCATGCTACTCGGATGGCCAGTTAACACAGAGCTTCTGGTCAGCTTTTCAATGTTGTCCTGAAAAAAACATGAGCAGACAGCTAAGCTGAGAATTGCTAGACCATTGAGGGAAATCTCTAATGTGGAAGATTACGACAGAAACAAGGGACTGTGAGAAAACGTCTAATAACAACCCATCAATAATATCCCCAAGGAGACAAATGGGAAATGAAAAGCTACTTCAACCTGAAACAAGAGCAGGATGTTACAAAAAAAGGAACACTCAAGAAAACACTGAGAGAGCCCTTGTTAATTCAGACTCCATTCAAGTGTCCCTTCAAGGACCCTGAGCTCAGCGCCCCTCCTCTGTGCACACACGGAAAGAATTCTCACCACTTCGTCCGTCTTTTCTGTGGCACCTTCTGGTATTTTTATGCAAATACTGTGTGCAGGCCTTCTTTGTTTGCCATCTCCTGTCTGTTCACACCTGGGCACTTACCCTTGGAATTCAGGTTCCAAAGTCATTAAATTACCAGCCCTTGGGTAATCAGTCCCCCAAAAAGCAGTATTGGTGGGCACTGGGCAAAGATGGGATGCCAACAGAGTGCTGAAAACTATCTTTGGTTTCCTCTTTCCAGTGCTCACAGGAAACTTTTATTGCCTACACGGTCCTGAAACCAAGAGGCACAGCATCTCTTCTGCAACTTCCTGAAGCTCTCTTCCAACTCCTCTGAGCAAGCAATGTCCAAAGATAGCACACGGAGATCCAAGTGCCCACTCAATGAACCCGCGATCTCCTGCACGGTGACGAATCATGGCTTTCCCCGGGACTTTCCCAGTGTCAGCTCTGCCAGTCTGTGTCCCAGGAAACTCAGCAGTCCCCAGTGAAATGGGGCAGTTCTAACCCCACTCCCAGGGTCCTATTCAGCCTACTCCTAAATTGACCTTGCCCTCTAGAAGATATAACTTCTATTGCTATTCTTGGAACTTCCTAATGGTCTTGTAGAAGCTGTAAGCTCATTGGACTCGACTGTTGTCGGCTATTTCCAGAAGTATGACTCCTGCACCTCCCTCAGTCAACCCTCAGAATGAAGGCAGCAACCCTTAGGAAATAGGCATATCCCTATGTGGTATTCAAGATCCCAGGATTGTAGAATTTAGAGATTATCCTCAAGTCACGCAGCTGGTGGTCAAAGCAGGACACAATCTCGCTTGCTGAATTCAGGAACCTCTAGTCAGAGTTTCTCAATCTGGGCATGACTATTTTGGGCTTGTCGTGGGGAAGGAAAGGACTGTCTAGGGCCCTGTAGGGTGTTAACAGCACCCCTGGCCTCCCTTAGCTGTCAGAACCCCACCCTCTCCCTTGAACTATGGTCTCCAGATACTGCCCTGTGGCTGGGGTTGAGGGGAGTGAACTCACCTGCTACCATAGGTCTACCAACTCTGAAATTTTTCCGATCTCTACTGTTTACTCATTTTGATTGGCTACTGGGGAAAAAAAATCCCTCTCTGGCTAAGTCTTGGACAGTTTATAAGCAACTGATCTCATGGCAGCGATGCCAATTCTCTATGTGAACATGACTGGGAGGACTTGCCTGGCGCATTGGCTGTGGCCTCACAGTGGGCTGCCCACGCAGCTGGCCAACACTGGACTTGGTGAAGGCTACAGGAGGAAGTGCCAGCTACTCTCTCCTCTGGCCCATGTAACAAGTCCAGAGTTTTTTCCTCACTCTAAGGAGTCTGGGTAAAAGCCAACAGACCTCTGGCTAGTGTTCTTCCTATGCTGGTTGGGGTTTATTGGTTATCCAACCTTCTATCTTCCCAGGCACATATGCAAACAGTAGAGGCCTACGTCTATGAGTGGGAATGGCCTCGATGCTTGTGTGTTTGGTTTGGAGTTTGAGAAGACGCTGTGGGACTGTCAGGTAGGCCTTGGGCTACTGACTGAATCCAGCAGTGGTCAAACCCACCAGCTACTCCATGGGAGAAAGATGAGGTGGTCTGTTTCCATAAAGAATGACAATCTTGGAGACTTTGTGGAGTAGTTCTCCTGGGTCTACGGGGTCATTGTGAGTTGAAATTGACTTGATAGCAGTGGGATGTTTAGAAAGCTTGGGTGATGCAGGTTAAGCATTGTACTCCTATCCAGAAGGTTGGCGATTCAAACCCACCAGCCACAATGTTGGGAAGAGATGAAGCAGGCCTCTCCCGTAAATATGGTGGGCAGTCTCAGAAGCACTGAGGGGCAGCTCCACTCTGCCTTACAGGCTGTCTGTGAGTGTGCGCCGGCATGATGGGGAAGCCGCTTAAGGGAAAAGAGAAGGATTCTTATGATGTCATTTTCTATCTTAGTGACTCCTTTGCCCAGAGAGAGGAGCAATCGCTCTTCCTGGTGCATAGAAGATGCTCTAAAATTACACAGCAGAAGTCAAGCATGAAAAAGGAAGGGCTCTGGAAACTCAACCAGCCTGGAAAATGGTTCATACCAAGGTGCTTCTGTTTTTCTCATAGTCTTAGCTTCAATGAAAAGAAAGGCAGATCGGGAAGCTGAACCAACGGGCACTATCTATCTCTGGGGCTGCAGAAGGGAACAGCTCTCAGAGCAGAGAGCCCGCCAAGCCGAGCAGCACTGGGGACTGGTCAGATGACTACAAGCCACATTGACTCACTGAACAGTTGCCACGACTAAAGGGCCACACCTAGGCGTTTGGATCAAGAACACGGAATTCTCTGATCCCACATGCCTGTGAAGCATGTCACCCCGGCCTGTTCTTCCTGTGAATTAAAAAGAGAGAAGAAAAGAAAAAAGGCAGCGAACGGGCAAGCAAGCCAACAATGGAAAGCAATTCCATCTCCAAAACAGGATGGTGCAACCCTGCAAGATACAGAGGGTGGCCACAACCCTGCAGGAGAGAGAGAGGGACCCCACAGGGCCGGGCTGTGCAACTGCAACCGTCCCTGAGTGGCAACAGGCATATTTGTGTGTGTGTGTGTGTGTGTGTGTGTGTGTGTGTGTGTGTGTGTGTGTGTGTGTGTGTGTGTGTGTGTGTGTGTGTGTGTGTGTGTGTGTGTGTTCAAGCATGTGTTACTGGTAACTAATGAAACACGGCTGAGGGAACACTCCCCACTTTCCCCCCATGCAAGAGGAAACGCGCATCCGCCTCAGGCACCATGAACTTGAAGCACTCGTCAACTCAGAAAAGACGGGGTCTTGTCCAGGCCAGCAGCCTGCCTCTACATGAAGGTCTGGCCTTCAGAGAAGCCCAGCTGCGAGCTGGTGCACAGTTCTCTTGCCTGGCCTGGCCAGTGATACTGGGGGCTCTGAGCATGCTGCTTCCCTCCAGAGCAGATCACCCAAGATCTGATGCACAACCTTTAACATTGGATCCTTACCACTGGGCATGGGCCAGTGGTGCCACGCAGGCCTTGTCGCTTGCCGTGAGACCCGGGGTTCCTGGTTGGCTGTGTTGGCGTCCGTTGTGTTGGGGATGTAGGCCCTTGGTTGATCTCTAGGGATTTTACCTCAAATGAAGCCAGACCGAGCCTGCCTGCAGAGGTGAGGAGGACTCTTATTTTGGGGAAATGTGTTTTGGCTCATTTGAGTTGGAAAATAAGCATGGACAAGAGAGAGGGGGATGGGTGGGGAGGTCACCCCCCCCATGGGGACCAAGCTCAGTCTAGTTCTGTTGCTGATGTGCCCAGAGCCCCACGCTCCCAAAGGCTGCTTCCCCTGCTGGTGAGAGAGCCCGGCCGCCCAGCTGGTTTACCGAGTAGAGCTCGTTCAGGACCTTCATCAAATCATCTTGGAGCTGCTGGCCGACTTCTTTACTCTGCAAGGAAAGAGGAATGGAGGTTAATTGGGCAACAAAAGGAGGGGGCAGCCAAGGCAAGAGCAGTCCTGGCTCTCCAAACAACACAGACTCAATTAAGGGCCATTATTTAACCTAGCAAATCAGATAACCACTCAGATCCGACCCAATTATGGTCAGATTACTCAAAGAGTTTTAATAAAATGAAGCGGCTCCTTCTAGAGCTTAGCAAAGGCAGTCCTGCGGTGCGGAAACCGGGTGGTAGCCTTTGGTTTTTCAAATGGTCTCCAGGGATCAGGGCTGAAAGCCACATGCTACCTAGCAACTGTTGGTAGGAGAGACACGCATTCCAGAGGACTGGGGAGGGAGGGAAGATGTGAAATAGGACGGAAGAAGGAAGAGAAAGCCACACATTAGGGAGTTCAGGTACCTAACAGAATACGAAACTCCAGGTGGGAAGAACTAAACCTCTTATTTGCTTGATTTCTAACCCAGACCCCCAGGACAGTGTGGGACCTCAGCAGTGACAGGCTGCCAGCTTAGCTACTGTTCCTCCCTTCTGATTGTAGCTATTACGGCTTCTCCAACTGGTTGATCCTGATTCCTAGCCGCTGCCACCCAGCACTGGCACCTATCTACAGAGAAAGAACAGACGTACAGAGACCAAGGAAGCAGCAAGGAAAGAGAGCCCCTCCTGTTCACGTCCGAGAGAGCAGGGGTAACACTGATAGGCACTACTGGGTCCCTGTGGGGCAGTCTTTACTTCATCCCCTGCCAGCTCCTTCTAATTCTTCCCAATAAGAACCCAGATACCAACAACACGCACCTAACAGTAGGTAGGGTACTGCCCGGCAGAGCTCAGCACCCAGGCCAAAAAGAAAGAGGAAAATAAGGCCTTCTATGTCAGAAACATAAAACATAAGACTTTGCTTTTGCAAGATGCATGGCTTTAAACAGTGTTTGTTTTTTCCTCCTAGCAATAAAAGCGATCCAGGGAAACCCGTGAAAGCCAGGATGTGTGTGTGTATGTTGGGGTTGGGGTGGGGGGCTCTCAGAGAAGGAAAACTCAGAATGAGGTGGTCCCTCACCGAGCTCCTGCTCTGACCCACTTTTCTGAAGTATGGGTTTACTGAAACCAATAGACTGTAAAAGGTCTTTTAAAAGAAAACAAACATAATTCTTAATTCTCTCCACTTAAAAAACCACCACTTGAGGCTTTGATGTAAATTCTTTTCATCTTCTCTCATTATTCATTTTAAAAATCAGAATTACACACACAAAGTAACTTTTTCACTTACATGCCTACTCTGAACATTTTCCCCTGTTTTTTTTTTCTTCAGTAATATTAGAATGCATAATATTGATGTAGGCCCCCTTCTTGGACATTTACTTTGCTTCTGTGTTTTTTTTGTAGTAACAATGCTACATTGTTATTTTGTATACAACTTATGCACACACCTTTCATTATTTTCTCCTAGAATCCATCTCTAATTCAGACCTTGGTAGTGTGTGTGCCTTTTGGGGAGCCCAGTTCCAAGGGCCCAGGAAGGGTTGCTGAGCAGGCCACTGTTAGCTGGACAGAGAAGGGAAGCTGCTAGGGAGATCTGCCCCCAGACCAATTTCAACTCAGCTCACTGTTCTCAAGTGGATTCCAACTCATAGCAACCCTACAGGGCAGAGCAGCACTGTCCCTGTGGGTTTCTGCACTGTAACTCTTTACAGGAGCAGAAAGTCTCATCTTTCTCTCTCAGATCAGCTGGTGGTTTTGAACTGCTGACTTTGCCGTTAGCAGCCCAATGTGTAACTCACTACACCACCAGGGCTCTTTCTGAAAGAAAAGGGGACATTTATTCCCTGGAGCAACTACTGATTGCAAGACTACTCATTTATATATTAAATTACCTTTGAGAAAACTGCACTCATTTAAAAATACCACCAGCAGCAATATAAGACTGCTTATTCCCCTCCCCCCGCCCTTTTTAATCTTCAAAATCTGATGTGCTATCTTATTGTAATTGCAATCCTTCGATTCTAGTGAACTGGAACTTTTTCCCCCCTCCCAACAAGCTTATAGGCTATTAAAATTCTTCATCTGCGGTCTGTCATTTTTCTGTAAGGTATCCATTGTGAACTAATCTGCGTGCCCTTTGTCCTGAGTAGGCAGGATTTTTCACAGGTGGCAGTGGGAGAGGGATGGCAAAGAACCCTAGATTAGCCATTAGTAGACTGCCCTTCTATCTGCAGCTCCTCCATCACCAAGTGGGCAACTTTGGGTGACATGGTTAATCATTCTAGGCCTCTTCTTAACTTCCATAAAACGGAAGGCTTAGGGTAAAACATCTCTAAGGTCTTTTCCAACCTCTGCTACCCTGCAGTTCCACATGACCTTTTGCCTGATCCAGGGTCTGTATCAGATTCACACACACCCTGTAGTTCACACTTGTGGTTGGTTTCATGGCAGATAAGAGACGATAACAGGAAAACAAGCAGGTTCTCTCACTGTGGGGCTGTGCGGGATCAGGGGCACTTGGTCAATCTTAAATGAACCTTCCCCAGAGGTCCCTCTGCCAATGATGTCAATCACTGCAGATAGCCACTGCCTTTCACAGCTCTCATGCCAGCCTCTCCATCGCACCGGGCGCCTAGGAGGCCCAAGGAGGTGAAGTGAGGCGAAATGACTCAACACCAGCCCCAGAGTCAGCAAAAACGGCCAGGAAGTGAACAAGAGTATCACTTCCCACCGCCTTGCTGCCCCCAGCCCAGTGTCCCGCCCACCCCCACCCCCCCGTGCGCCCCCCAGTCTCTCCGTTATCCTCACCACCACCACCTTCTTGTTAAAGTGGCAGAGGTTACTGGGACAGGGTCCCATGGATCTACCCTGCAGCTTTACCCGTAACTCAAACAACTTAGCTCCCAGGGAGGGAGTAGAAAAGGCAGAACCCATAAAATAACAATTAAGCCCGGGCAGATGTTTCCTTTCGTGTACTGATTAGTTGGGAGAAAGACACGCACTCAACTATTATCTCTGTTTATTTGAACAGGCTGCTGCAGCGGTTCTGGCTTACTGCTCGGTAGGAGCGCCCTGCGGCGACAGGCGGGCTGGGGACACGGGGCGCTGGCGCAGTGGGAACACACCAGAATGCCTGCAGCAAGTGGGGGCAGATTTGGAAGGGAGGCAGGAAATAGCCAGTGCCTCTCCTTTCACAGAGAATAGGCCACGCTGGCCGTCCGTCAGTCTGTCCTCTAACTCAGAAACCTTGCCCGTTTGCCTCTGGGGGAGGGCAAGGCCCCTGCTGGCGCTGCGGAGCAGTGGCCAGAGAAGGGAAGCAGCTCCGGACCCGCCCAAAGACAAGAGGGACATTTATTCCCCAGAGAGCTAAACCTGAGGTGGCCAGGCACATGACAATGAAAGCTTCCCAGCCTTTCCGCTCCCTATAAAAAAGCCAGGGGTTTCGGGCAGCAGGAAAGGCAACAGCATTTACAGAGCCACCTTTGTGCACACACAGCCTGCATCTCTTTTCTTTAAAATTTCTTGGAAGAGAATGAGTCATCTAAACATTGCAGGAAGCCAAAGAGAAGTCCGGGTGGGGGCACAAAAAATTACTTTGGGCAAAGTTCTTCTCTTAAATGTTTGTACAGTAATCTTTGCCTGAAAAAATGCCTAAATTTAGAAAAGAGATGTGGCTGGTGGTCAGGGCTCGTTCTATGGGATGGGTGGGGAGATGGGGTGCAGAGGCTGCGATCTCGGCCTGAAACTCACCACAACCGCTGGGCCGGAGTTGGTTTCGAGGGGGGGAGGGGGGAGCTGCTGAGGCGGGGCTGATCGGAAGACAGTGTGATTGCGATAACTCCTGCCAGCTGCGGGCTCACCAAATGGTAGGGAATCCTCCCTTTGCAGCAGATCGCGGCACCAGACAACAGAGCTCACAGGCACGGCCTCATCTCTCCGAAACTGTCACGTTCCAAGACCTCCACACTTGCACACAGATGGCAAAAACGCGGCAGCAGAAATGTCAGGAAACATCAGGCTGCGCCAAAACGTCCCAGAAGCCTGTTAACCAGGCTGGACACACCTCTGCATCTCTTTACATCAGTACATTTCCTGAGCTTCAGTAGATCTATTAGCATGTCTCCAAAATACCAATTATGAAAGGGTATCAAAGTCCTCATCAGGAGACATGACCGGATTCTTAAGTTATTTATTTAGATCTGTACTCGTGTGCTTCCTCAAGTTGGGAAAGCGGTGGGGGGGCCATTGTTTATTGTATATCTATAAAGCTGTATAGCTATCTTATTAGACACTATAGAGCTATATTATTTGATAGGCGCAAGATTCTCCCCTAGTTATATGAAAAGGAAAAAAGAGGAAAGCATGTCTGTGCCACGTGGGGAGAGCTAATCTCAGCCCTTCCCCATGACCTAGTCTATCAGCAGGTACAAACAGTAGAGCCATTTAGTTCTCTGCTGCTTCACCTGTGTCAGCACTTTCCCCACCAAAGAATCCAATATCCAAGGGCACGTATCTCCTTCTGCCAGAGCTAGCGCCCCCTCCCTCCCACTCCAAAGAACTTCCGAGACCCAACCGCTCACAAAATCCTATTCAAAACGGAATCGACTTTTCCAGGTTGCAGAAGAAATGACACGGATCCTATATTGTGCTCTGGCAGCAAGAAGAAGGCACACCAGACATAGGCTGACCGTTTCAGGGGTGCTCCCTCCCCACTTCAAAGAGGCCACGTGTCATAAGCTGGCACCCTGCCTGAGGTGCTTAGGGGAGAGGGCCCTGCTGAGAAGAATGGCTGTTTGGTAGCAGGGCCAGCGGTGGGCGATAGTGGGCTGGGGCATGTTGATCCAGGGAGTGGTGATGTGGTAGGTCAGAGCTCAGGAACGACCGGCAGAGTTCACCTCACTAAGCCATCCTGCAAAAGCATACTACCTTGCTTATACTCAACAGGGCTCTTTCTGTCAGTATTCACTCCTTAGGGAACGCCCCAAGGCGCGAAGGCTCTCAGAAGGCTGGC